AAGCCTTTGAAACAAAACAATTTAGTTTATCTAATACCCTGCTGGAATGATTGTCATGTCGAATACATAGGTCAAAGTAGTAGAACAGAGGCAGTCAGTCAGACAAGCAGAACTTATACGCAGACTAACTGAGCATAAAAACCTGGTAAAATCTAGATTGGTTGACCCAAATAAGATGACAGTTCTAAAATCTAATGTAACAGGTGAATGTAGGGAGAGATTGGTAACAGAAGCTTCGTCTATCGAATCAACTTCAAATACATGTAATAGGAATGATTCAACACCTGTTCCAGACATCTGGCAAATTCTATTACGCCTACGACAAATAGGAGAAGACAAAGAAAACTATGAAACTCAAGTTTCGAAGTCGTGTGATTATGATTGATGTGATTATGAACAATGAAGTGTGTTCGAAACCTCATCCAGTAAATAATAGTGTTTCCCTCACTGTGTGATATATCTAATAAACAAACTAATTTGGAATTACAAATTTTCTTACTAAACTTTGAATTCTTTCCATCTTAGTGTTAAGATCAATTCTCTGTATAACAACAATGTATCACAGAAAGTGTATTGTAAGCGCCGGACGTTCGACATTTCTCCCTTGAATAACAACATGTACCACATGAAATCTTTGAGTTTCCCACTTTACCAAGTGACGCCTAATCATCGAGAATAAAGTTGATTTGAGATAATGATGATGGAGGCTTAAACTTGTTGATTGATATTGATGAGAAATGTTACTAAAGCAGGATTTAATGAATTCATCGAATTTCTGGAGAACTCTTTTTGCATTCCGAATGAAATACAATTTTTCAAGCCTGAAGTTTTGGGTTTCAGTGAGTGGGTGAGGGGGGGGGTATAGTTTTTACTGCTTGGATTTGTCAGTCTCATCACTGCCAACCTTTCCTCTTTTCATCGTTTAGAAACTGGATTAGAAAGGCTTAGGAGCACTTCAGTCGGGAGTCGAATCTGAACCATTTGAGTGGTTATTCAGCACTCTGCCACTGAACTTCCAACGCATACTCACGAAATGCAGTGTTATATGTGACTAACTAATAAATCCCATTGTGAATTTAATCAAAAGGTGAAAATATCTTATAGGTCAAGTTCAGACAGACAGGAGGTGAAAGGGGTAGAAGAGATTATAAATTAAGATCATAATGGCTTATGGTTAAGTCACGTCAGTATAATAAACAATTAATAATCATAGAAAGAGACAGAACTTGAAAATGCTATTAACCTCAAAATGAATAATAATAACAATAACAGATGGAATACTTAACTGTCATTCTGCTATGAACTCGCCTAACCAATCTTCACAAAATGCATTGGTCAACCTGTCTCATAGAAAAAGAGTACCAGATTACCTTAATCCATGCAACTGTTAATTTACGTCTACTACTGCACGCAAGACTTGGCTCACCACGAAAAGCATTTTCAACAGACTACCGACTTTTATCAACAGCTACCTCCTTCTCTGGCTCCATACTGAAGACTCAATGACTAGAAAGGAATAGCAACAGGAAACTCTGGTAACGAGCCAATCAACAACCTATCGACCAGTAATTAAGCTGAAGTAAGTGGAGATGGATTCAGAACAAGCTGAATTCAGGAAAGGCAAATCATGTACTGACCAAATTGCAACTCTACGCATCATCATCACAGAACAAAGCATGGAATGGAAATCAAACCTCTACCTCAACTTTATAGACTTTGAAAAGGCCTTCGACAACGTTGATCGTGAAGTAATTTGGAAATTACTCGAGTACTATGGCGTACAGTGCCCAAATATTCATCAACCTTATTCAACAGCTGTACGACAACGGCACATGTCAAGTCATCAACAACGAAAAACTCAGCGAGGCATTTGGAGTAAACACAGGAGTCAGACAAGGCTGCTTATTATCACCCACTGTGATATTCGTAATCGTGGTGGACTGACTGGATTATGCGTCAGACAGTGGGAAACGAGAAGACAGGGATATCCTGGACCGAACGATGTGAAGAACCTAGAAGACCTGGATTTCGCGCGTGGATGATTTATGCTTGATGTCACTGTCACAAAACCGAAGACTTACAGGCGAAAACCGACAAACTGGTCGAAGAAGCAGCAAGCGAAGACAGGAATCCAGGTAAACATGGACAAGACGGAGGTTATGAAAATAACCAACCAACAAAAGCAACAACATCCAAGGTCAATCACCATCAACGGGAGGGATTTGAAAGAGGTTACTTCATTCACTCACTTATCTAGGGAGCATTGTCACAACTACAGGCAGTCGGAACGGACGAGGATGTCAAATCGAGCGGGAATCGGGGAGGCGAGAAACACATTCATCAACCTGAAACCAATCTGGAATTCCTCGTCACTCAGCCAGTATCAACAACAAAATTCAGTCGGATTTTCAATACAAACGTCAAGGCAGTTCTTCTATACGGATCACAAACTTGGCGGGCGGGTCACAAAGAATATTTCCAACAGCATGTTGCAGACCTTTATCAACAACTGTCTTCTCTGACTCTATAGTAAAGATAAGATGGCCTGACCGGAAAGAATCACCAACTAGAAACTATGGCTGGAAACATACAAAACAAGAACCAATCGCCAACCAACAAATATGCAGGAGAAAGTGGAGATGGATTGGACACTCGCTGAGAAGACCGCTGGGTGACATCGCGCGCACGTCAGGCCATTGCTCGAGTGGAACCCGAAAGGGGAGCAGCGAGTGGGACATCAGTGCGAGGGTGATATGGAGGAGATCATGTGAAGAGGAGTTGAAACAGTATGGACTAACATGGATGCAGGTGAAAAGTACAGCAGAAGACAAAAGCAAGTGCAGACGTGCAGTTGAAGCCCTATGTTCCACTAGGAACTCATGGGAACAATAATAATAATATAAATGGATATGGATCAAACGCACTCTGAGATGACCATTGTATGGCACTGTATGTTATGCCACCTAGTGGAACTCGAACTGAAAACGATGAGTTTGGCATACAAAAGGGACATGGAGCAGATGGTATGAGGAGGAGATGACAGCTTATGATAAATCGTGGAGCCGATAAAGTGGACTTCTGAGGACAGGATGAAAAAGAGATGTGTTGTTGAAGCTCATGTCCTATTCATAATTCGAGTAAATAATAATAAAGTCACTTTATGAGCTGAAGAAACAACAAAGTTACTTGACACATTGATTATAACACTAGAGATGAACACTCAAACATTGAAACATGCCTATGTAGACGCGGCAATCTTATCTGATAACATTTTTTTTCGAGTATTGGTTTTGTAGGAATTTTGTTTGATTGAATGGAGGATTTCATCATGAGCTGACATCAGTTAGAGAACCACTAGAAAACTAGCTGGGAGTACTAGACAGCTGTTTCTGTAATCCTAGTTCAGGACTCTTAAGCAGTACGCATCCACTGGGGTTCGAACCCAGGACCTTCTGGTTACAAGCCTAGGGAGCTCGTAGACCACTGAGACCTGGTCCAATAGTCCTTGAATTCTGACTTCTGCTAATTCACGAAATAGCGCGACCATTTCGCAGGTTGAGATGAGGCAGTAACTCATCGATGAAGACATTGCGAAATGGTCGCGCTATGTCGTGAATTGGCAGAAGTCAGAATTCAAGGACCATTGGATCAGGTCTCAGTGGCTCAATGGTCTACGAGCTCGCTAGCCTTGTAACCAGAAGGTCCTGGGTTCGAACCTAGGCAGTTGGTGTGTACTGCTGAAGAGTCCCAAACTAGACTGACGAAACATCAGTCCAGTACTCTCAGCTGGTTTTCTAGTGGTTCTCTAACTGATTTCAGCTCATGATGAAATCCTCCATTCAACATCTTTGTTGATAAGACTCAGCATAAGCATATTTATTGAGCCTAGTGTTTAGTCCACCATAATGATGAGACATTGTCTTTATTTAATAATCAAATTTCACACGCTTTGAAACTTTTTAAAATTTCAGACATTAAAATTGTTATGTATATACAATGATCTTGTGCTTATCATCTTTGTATTATCTAGTCAATGATTCTTGGTAGAAAAACAAGAATACTGTGTGAACAATGGTTTATAAATAAGAAAGATTCTAGATTACACATATTCGTGTGAAGACCACGTCGTTTTTCATGTTTCAGAAATACACAAAACAAAGTGAAAATAAAAATACATTTCACCAAGAAACGAACAAACAGCTTTGAGTGAAATACTATACTACTAATTATTGATAGTAGTATTAATGGTTCCTTCATTCCTGAGTAAAGTATTAATTCAGCTGTAAATCATAACCATTGTATTCCGTTATCTAACGTCGTTTTCACCTGGTTCCAGGACTGCCAAAAAACTTCCATCTTCTCGTAACAGCATCTGCTCCATATCAGACTGGAACGCCCATCTCATTTTCAGTATCGAGCCAGTGAGGGCAGATAGCTATTGATGAAAATATGTATCAGGCTGATGGGAATATTTTCGATAATGTATGTAGCATTTTCAATCACCGGTTTGAAATGAGTGTTAAACAAGACCTGGATCTTTTCCCTTACCATCCAGCTCAGAGAACAAAACCACATCAAAATCAAATGATTATCTTGACTGTATAACTGTCAAATGTCGATCTAAACCTAAGCACCTATCTGAATACAAATTCATGTATATCACACCTTGCTGTAGCACTTCAAGACTGTCTATGTTTGCTGATGAATTCACTAATTTCGCTGCTTCCTCTTTCGGAAACTCATTGTCCATTGTCACAGGTGATTTTAATTCATGTGACTGCAGCTTTCTCACAGTGCTAGATCATGAAAATGTCGTCAACTTTCCCACCAGACTGGATAATTCTCTTGATCTTGTATTTATAAATGACCGTGGAATATACGAAGCTCGTAAAAGAGCCCCACTCTTTAACTCAGATCATTGTATTGTACGGGTTTTACCTAAAATTTATGGAAAATTACACAAGAGAACTTTTTCACACCTCTCCAAGAAAAGTGTACATGTATGTTACTCTAAAGACAATGTTCAGAATCTTAAGGGCATGGTCAAAGACACAAGGTGGGACCCGTTTAATAAAGATTCTCTTGATGACACAATCTCTAATATTACAAGTTATCTCAAATTTTGTCTTGACACCTGTTGTCCCAGAGAAACGCTATTCATCAGATCTGACCGTTTCTCCTACCCCTAACTTAAAATGCTTCTCAGACAAGAAGAAAAGCTATATAAAATGAAGGACAATACTGGTTTGAAAAGAATTAACATCCTAATAAAATCTGAAATGTACAGGTTGAATTCAATTTACAACCAGAAGTTTATATCGTGTAAAAATGCGTCTAATATATGGAAACTTTCTAAAGAAATTACTGGTGGTAAGCAGATGAATAGTATTCCTTATTCATTTGATGTGTGTATACAGAACAAGTCTTTCATACATTCTCCCACAAATGCCAAACTTTCTAGTATCACAAGTGTTAATGAAACCTGCTTCCCTGGTTTCAATACAAATGATGTTCGAAAATATCTCCAGTCTCTGAACCCTTCCTGTAGCTTTGGCCCAGACGGTCTGCCTAGTGTTATTCTTAAAAAATGTGCAGACATCTTGTGTTATCCTCTTATGGACATATTAAACGAATCTTTCTCCAGAAATGTCGTGCCAACCGTCTGGAAGGACATCAAAATTGTACCTATCCATAAGTTGTCTACTGGAGCATGTTTTAAATTTAGACCTATTGCTATTACGTCTGCTTTTCTAAAAGCTATGGAAGAGTTACTCTTACTTAATCTTCAACCATCACTTAAAGACTTTAACGATCCTAAACAATTCGCTTATAAACACAGCAGAAGAACTTTAGATGCAGTTGCAGTCTTGCACCACAACATTGTCTCCAGCTTAGACAAGGGGGCTAAATTTATTTTCGCTGCACCTTCCTAGATTACATATCTGCTTTCGACTCAGTACCTAGGGACATTTTGTTAAACAAGCTGGCCGAAACTCAATCTGACTGTTGGATTGTCAAATGGCTGCATTCTTATTTCTGAGGAAGAAAGCAGTACACTGTATGTCAGGGAAAGTCGTCCACTTCTTAGCTTACTGAAGCCGGTGTTCCTCAAGGCGCTGTTCTTTCTCCTTTTCTGTTTTCTTTCTTTTTGCATGGTTTACCTCACTCTGATGAAGTGAACTTTGTTAAGTATGCCGATGATCTAACTATTTCATTGTCTGTTAACTCCCAACTAGACTGTGCTAAGATGAATAGCTTTCTATCAGGAATTAGCGAATGGTCTTCGTGTAACGGCCTTAAACTAAATCCTTCCAAATGCCAGACTGCTAATTTCAGTTTTCGATGTAAACGAAAGTTAGATGAAGCTGTTGGTTCCTATGACCCTTGCAAAATTGATGACACTGATGTAGAAATCAAGTCTGAAGTTAAGTATCTTGGATTAATTCTTTCTTCTGACCTATCCTGGTCTTCCCATGTCTTAGCGATTTCTAAAAGAATATTTCGTCTGACTTTTTACATTAAGAAGTTGAGGCAGTCAGGCATAACCCAACCACTCCTCTTACAGTTTGTCAACTTGCGTATTTTACCTATTCTTCTTTACTGTTCACCCTTATTCTCTCCTGGATTGCTTAAAAAAGACTATGTCATACTTCGCAGAACTCTGAAGACTGTCAGCAGGGCGAGTGGTATCCCATTGGGCCATATCGTTGACATCGTCACTGATAGGCACTTGATTTAATGCAACAAATTTGCTAAAGGAATTTTGTCAGACTCTGAGCACCCACTCTACCCGCAGCTCCAACCTTGTGTCACCTCAGGTAAAACAAGGAGTCTTTCTAGAAGAATTTACGCACGTACGTCTGAGTATAAAAATTCCACTATACCATATTTAGCACGTACTTTATGTGATGAAAACAGTGTCAGGCATGAACTAACTAATCTACGCACTAGTAAGTAGACTATTTCTTCCACCCTTACAGTACCAAACTTGATTGTTATTGTATTTCTTATATTTATAATCCTATCAACTTTTTGTTTTTATTTGTTTATTTTTCATAATTGTGAACATCAACAGAACATTAGATTTAATATTCTATAATAACATGCTAAAATTTTCAAACTGAATAGACAATACGGTTTGAAACAAACTCACTGTCATTATTATTGTTATTATTAATATTTAATGATCTCAATTCGTGCTTAAAATATTTCTGACTTTATATCGTAAGCGTGGACAAATTCCTCTGGTTAATTTTGTTTTAATTTTTAATTTTACTTATATTTTGAGTAAATCAGATGCCATTTATTGTGACAAATTCTGTATTATAAGTCCTGTTTTGGAATAAAGTAAAATAAATTATTATTAAATTAAGTCGCCTCTCTTCCTTCGGTATGATAACGGGAAGAGATTTAAATGCTCCATCCTCTTATCATAAGGAACGTGTGTGATACCACTAACTAATTTTGTTCCTACTCTCTGTGCTTTGTACTCCTTTTTGAAGCACGGACTCGTCGCTTGTATGCAGAATTCAAGATGATTGATGATGATGATGATTAGTGAAATGTTTAAATGACAGAGCACCAAAACTAAGTAGTACCAAGGGAAATCTACGGCAGAAAGTGATACACATAAAAGAAGCCTTGAAACTTAATAATTACCCGGATAAATTAGTCAAGAAATATGTAAGTAAATGTAAAAACAAAATAAATAATGATAACAGCGATAGTGATAATAATAATAATAATGATAACAGTAATAATGATAATAATAATGGTAATAAGGAATCTGAATCATCAACAGTAATTCCATACACGTAAGGGACCTCGGAAGCCTTACGCAGAATCCTTAACAAGGCAGGAATAAAAGTGGCTGCAATTCACACCAACCACAAACTCAATTAGAAACAAGCTTTGTCGGTTAAAGGATCAATCCTGCGGAGCATTTGAAACAAAACAATTAAGTTTATCTAATACCCTGCTTGAATGATTGTCAGGTCAAATACATAGGTCAAACTAGTAGAACAGGGGCAGTCAGTCAGACTAGCCGAACATAAAAACCTAGCTAAATCTAGATTGGTTGACCCAAATAAGATAAGAAATCTACAGAATAGTTCAGCTATAGCACTACATGCAGTCACACACAACCACACAATGAGGATGGGATAGGATGACAATTTTAAAATCTAATGTCAGAGTTTAGGGAGAGATTGATAATGGAAGCTTTGTTTATCGAATCAACTGCAAACACATGTAACAGAAATGATTCAACACCTGTCCAAGATATATGGAAAATTCTACCACCATTACGACAAATAGGAGAAGACAAAGAAAACTATAAACTAAAATTTCAAAGTCGTGTGATCAAAATTGAATGTGTTACCTGCATACCTCCATCATACTTTTGAGGTGTAGCTGAACGTTTCAATTGCTATGTTTTCCCACCTATCCATGAATATATCTGCCACAACTGGGAATATTGGTGACAGAAGCTTTGTTTATCGGATCATTCAAAACCTGTCCACCCAGATATCTGGAATATTCTACTACCCCTTCAGCAACTACAAATAGGAGAAGACAAAGAAAACTATAAAACTAAAATTTTAAAGTCGTGTAATCAAAATTGATATGATTATGAACAATAAATTTTGTTCGAAACATCGTCATCCAGTATACAATACTATTTCACTGTGTGATACATTTAACAAACAAACTAATATGGAAACAGGAACTTCAGATGTGAAAATATGGTAGTGTAAATAGGGATTAAGAACAATCACATGAATAAACAAACAGGTTTGGATATGATAGGTAATGGAATAGTCACCATCAAAAGAATTACCTGTGTATTATGGCCATGTCACGGACAAGTATTGCACTTATTTCTTCTGGATACACAGTGTGGGTTTGAGCATTTGGATAGCTAGTGCTTCGGCTATACCCAGATGTCTCAATTTTACACCCTTTTTGATATGTTCGATCGAATTTTGTATATTACTTTGAAGGATTTTACGAATGGCAATGAATGTCTTGAATTGACCAGATGTTCTGTCACTGAACTATATACACGTTTTCGTTCTCATTTTACTAGCCATGCTGGATAGTGTTAACGAGCGAGTTTTTTCAAGTTGGCGCATTGTATGGCCGATGTACTCAGCTCCGGAAATGATTCTGGAACTTTCCTACCCATTTATCAAAAAAATACACGAATGTACAGCTTAGTTGATGACTTCGTCGAAAAGGAAATTTTTATTGCTGCAACTGGCTTTTTATTCCCTATGATCAAACCCTAGGTCGATGAAGTCACTTGAGGTCAAAATATTTTTCCAAGGAAGTCCTCATTTCTAAAAGATTAAAATTCACCTCGGTGATGAAAGTCAGTAAACACTCAGTATAGATCAAGTAGGATGCCTCACTAATCGACTTCTAAGACCCACCAACTTCTTCACATTGAAGTCAGCTATGAAGACTTTGTCTAGAAAGGCAACAGAAGATTCACAATTGAACCATCTAGTTCATTAAGTACAACCACATGATAGAAAAAACATAAATTGGCAGAAGTTAAAATTCATGGGCTGGTCATTGCATTGGGTCACAGTGGCTGAATGGTCGTCAACAAGCTCGCCTTGTAACCGGAAGGTCCTGGGTTCGAGTCCCAATGAATGAGTACTACTTAAGAGTCTCAGAGTAGGACGAAACAGCTGTCCAGTATTCCCAGGTGGTTTTCCAACGGTTCTCTAACTGTTGTCAGCTCATGATGAAATCCTTCATCTAATCGACAAAGAAAATATCCACCTAGATTATAAATATTCTCTGTTACCTAACATTACATCCAAATATTCAATACGATATATCCTCAAAGGTTTAGCAGATATAGATCAATGAGAACTACTCACTCAAAACACACAAAAATAATCAATAATTCAATAAACTATACAGATTAATCCTATATTCGAAAAATGCAAATTCATTAATTGATCAAGATTTTATTATTTTTGCAAATTATTAAATTATTCATTAAAAAGTCAAAGAAAGGAGAGAGAGAGAGAGAGAGAAAGAAAAGAAGCGAAGGTAAAGAACACTTGAAATACTATTTACAAATATTAAGTAGTAGAAACCATTTCTCCTCAAAAAAAAAACAACAAACATACAATTTATAAAAAGGGGTCAGTTCTCATAATTGACCTCTTACTATTCTTCTGCTAAACATCAGTGTTATATATAAATATTAATGTGAAAGTATGAGAAGGGTGAAAATTCTTAACTAAAGTAAAATACTAAAGTAAATACTGAGATATTATTGTTATTATTGAAAATAGGCGCAATATTTTGTTTAAATGCATCATATTTGAAGGACAATCTTGTGTGTGTGTGTGTGTCTGAGCGCGCGCGCGCGCTCACACACGGACACACCCAGAAAAGCGAGGTAAATTACATCGTCGATAAAAACTACGAGATATATATATAGCCGAAAAGGAAAGGAAGACTAATGCCAATTAAGAAAGTTCTACAAATGATGCAATTCGAAAAATAATAATAGTGGTAGTAATGACTAAAAATTGCAAACAAAAACAGAAAAGTTTACCAATATCACATATTGACTGTATGTTTGTATGCATCAAGAGCTGGCTATAGGTGAGAAAGGATAAAATAAGTGGAGCCAGATAACACAGACAGTATCACTAATAGAATAGATCTCTCAGATCATCATCTTTCAGGATCATTCATAATAGTAATAATAATAGAGGGGAAATAATTGCGAAAGACTTAATTGTTAATTGTTAATACATTACAAATACATATCCTAGGTGAAAATAAAATTAGTTAATGAGAAGATAACTGAGGCTGAGAGACAGAACGAGGCAGAGTGTACGTGTGTGCTTGTTTGTATGTAGGCTGGAGAGACACGAATAGAGGAGGGCATGACAACACAACAAGACATAGTATTCAGAACTTACGCTTTACTGTTTCTACATTCCTCCCTCCTCCTCACCCCCACCCCGAATACTTTTGTCTCCTCTTCTCATGTGTGTACATTATGCATTTGTAATTGTGGTGCTTATATATGTCATGTTACTATTTCTGGTAGTTCAATTCTATTCCCATCCTCAGTAAGAATAAGAGCATCGTGTTGTCCCAGTGTGGCTTTTGTTCGCCCATTTGCTGTATTATGATGATGATGATTGGCTAAAGATTTATTTGACCTTGTACTTTTAACTTTATGTTTTAATTTCCGTTGATAATTGATCACTATTAAAATGCCTAAAGTAATAATAAATAATATAATCAATATAATGATAGCTGAAACAATCCATATTTTTTGTCGATGACTTGTTTTACTATGACCATATTTAGTAAGTATTAAAATCTCATTGGTTGATGTTGCATTTCTACTCATTGGTGTCACTTGCATTGACGGGGATTCAGTACTGATAGGAGTATTTATTTGTGTGCTTTGAAAATGCGCTTCATTTGAATTTATGCTTACTGTCGTCTGCATATTAGCTATAATTTCAATAGTAGGTGTTTCAGGTTGACCAATTTTTGCTTTTGCTTGTTGTAAAGGTAGATTATTCCTGCACAGCATATCATCAGAGCATATATCATATATACAACTGTCAAGAGGTAAATGATTCAACGTGTCCAATGTTGAATAATGAACATTTGTTTTACTAACATTCTGATTATTACCAATATTCCCTAGTGAAAATCTGGTAAATTTAACTAAATGCTGTTGTAACGGTGGTCCAGGCCGTATACGTATCACATTAACATTAGAATCTTGTAAGCATTTAATACAATAAAATTGTAATGGTACCCCTTCGCAATCAACAAATCGGATAACAGAGATTAGTGGACCAAAAGTTAAATATTCTGAATAATTCGCTTTACAATTTAGTGTGACTTCATAAAGACTAGGCAAGCTTAAAAAACTACAACTATCCCATTGGATTAAACTTGTTCTTGCTAAGAGATTTGTTAAACTATCCATACCAGCTAGATTTAATGCATTCATTTGATGATTAGAACTAAGGTGTATATCAAATTGTAGGGTATCGATTAAATTATTGATAAATAAATTTGAAAATGCCCATGGTTGAATCAATAGATTCTTATATGCTGTACTATTTAATGAATATGAACCAATACGAATAAAATTATTTACCCGTTGACATGATATTCATCAGAATAATTTAATGTGGATGGAGTTAGTGAACAGTGGATTAGGGTTTTTTCGTCTGTGCTACTGTCATGAGTCGTATTCACAGGAGATGTTGTTGAATTTAGATAACAGAAACATTTCTCTGAATATGACTGATGAATAGATAGGCATGAAAAGGATAAAATATTGACTAAGAAGATCAGAATGTCATTATGATAATTCCAAAATAACATAATTTTTTATTGATCCTTATGATCCTGGGCATAAGCATAGGGTTAGGCATGTGTATACCGCCTAAAATGGCGGAATTATGAACACTTTTCTATTGCTTTAGGTATTGTTGTAGATTTTGTAAAACATTTTTTAAGACGAATGAATTAGTGGTGACTTTTGGAATAAGGTGCCAAATAATCCACACAACCGTCTAATCAGATGTATATAATAAAGTTTTGATATTTATTTAATATTTAGGTTAAATAATTCGAGAAGGAAGAAGCAAGCACGATAATAAAACGAAATATATGCATATATATATATGGCATTCACAATACATGATTGGTGATTCCATTGGTGAATGACGTCAAACAAATCAATCGTTAAATAACAATAATAATCAGACTATATTTACTGTATAACCAATCAGAATTCAAGCATTTTTAACCAATAGAAAGTGAAGCTTTGACAGGCGTTTTGTTTCATTCATTCATTCATTCATTCTCTGTGTTTTTATAGCGTACATCATCAACGAACAAGGAAATGATGCCCGGTGTTATTTTTTCTTAAATGATACTGTCAATTCGACCTTACTAGTTAATTGAAAATCTAGAAAAAACACGCACTCACACAGTTGTGTTGAACAATGGAATAGGGGATGAGAGAGAGGAGAGAGAGAGAGAGGAGAAATTGAGGTCAAGAGGGAATAAAAGATTAATAGCAGTTGTCTATGTGCACAGAATGAAGAGTGGGACAATGGCAAATAATTTTTCACAAATAAAGAGAGACGTCATTTATTTCCAATTACTATTTGGTCAATTAGAATAATTTTCTATAGTTTTTTGGTTTGTAAGGGTTAGTTATATTTTAAGAGTTGATCATGGATTGATGTCATTTAGAGAACCATTGAAAACCAGGGAGTACTGGACAGCTGCTGTTTCATCCTAGTTTGGGAATCATCGTCAGTACGCACCCACCACAGTGGGGTTCGAAGCCAGGACCTTCCGGTTACAAGGCAAGCTAGCTCGTATACCACTCAGCCACTGGGACCCAACTTCTCAATGATATCTGGATGACCTCACTGGTCACGACTTCTCACTAGAACCCAGGAGACTTCAACCTGTAGCAAGTCACTGGCGAGTATCAGATGTCCCACCTACGACAATGGTTAGGGTGGCGCTACTTCACAAATTGGTAGAAGTTAGAATTCATGGACTGGATATTGAATCAGGTCCAGTAGCTGAATGATGTACGGGCCAGCGTGCCTTGTAACCGGAAGGTCCTGGGTTCGAACCCCACTGTGGTGGGTGCGTACTGGCGATGATTCCCAAACTAGGATGAAACAGCAGCTGCCAGTACTCCCTGGTTTTCAATGGTTCTCTAACTGATATCAATCCGTGATCAACTCATAAAAACAATTAGAATAAAACAATAGGCGGCAGTTATCGAATTACAGTTACAAAAATATTCAATGAAGAGGGTACTTCATAGAATTTATAGATCTGGGAAAGTGGTGTACAATCAATAGGACTAATAGGATTGGTAGACAGCATCTCTCCGGTGTTTAGATCACTTCAATCAAGCTAGCAAATGTTACTGTCGAAGTGGGTGATACTCAACTACTTATAGCAATGATCCAATATATATATGTAATCATCCTTATTTTCAAATGATAGTTATGGAGAATGACGCTTTTATAGTTTCCATGTGTTGCTTTGCAGGGATTTCTTTGACTTCAAGATAGATCATGAATTAATAACAACTTTAGGAACCACCGAAGGTTACAGAATACTGGACAGCTGTGTTGTCGCACCTTAAAACTCTTCAGCCAGTGAGTACCAGCCACCCCTTATGGGATCCACCCCGAGACCCATTCAGCCTCTGGGACCAAATCCATTGACTTGTCAATACTAACTTCTACCAGTCTGCGACACATGGTGCAACTATCGTCAAAGTCACTGAGTAACAATGTGATGCCCACTAGGGACTGGCCCTGTTCAGGTGGATAGTTACCAGGGTTCTAGCGAGAAGTCGCGACCAGTAGGGAACAGCAGGTTAGATGTGAGGTCAGTTACTTGCCAACTATGGCACTGGTTAGTGCCAGTCGCACTATATCATGCGCGAAGCTGGAATTCATGAACTGGCCACTGGGTCAGGTTCCAGTGTCTGAATGGTATACGAGGTTTCCTTGTAACCAGGGGATCCTGGGTTCGAACCCTGGAGATGGACGCTTGCTGTGAAGAGTCCTATATTAGGACGAAACATGTGTCTAGTACTCCTTGTTGACTTTCCAGTGGTTGTCTAACCGATGGTAGGTCTTCATGAATTCCTGTAACCAGTCAAATCCCAGCGAAACAACACCTAAGTCATCTCAGAGCATCTGTCCTCACATCCAACTGTTTGGGCCTCACTGGTCAAGAATTAGCGCTAGAACCACATCATCTTCAAGATCGTGAACTGGAATCAGTTAGGAGACAATTGTATTCCAAGGAGTATTGGACTGCTGTTTCATTCCATTTCTTCAGGATTTACGCACCTAAGACACCAGCATGAATTTCATTTTCTAACTAACTGCAATGCAGTTTGGATGACATAACTGGGTTAAATATCTTTCGCTGTTAGTACTGTTTTAACCAGTTTTGTGTTTAAACATTACACTGTCTAGACTGAAGACTTGTCAATAATACAGCGAAATGGTGTCTGTCTACGTTTGCTGTATGCATTTAAATTAAAGTACGTAGTAACATCTACTAAATAAAGGTGTATTACAAAGGATTAACTGTTTAAACTTAGTACACATAAACGAAAAACTCAATATGAAGAGCTTCACACTGAAGATCTAAATGCCCCCAACTCATTTCCAAGTTCCAGCGAATGTGTGGATATTTGTGAGTCAGTAGTTCAATGGTAGAATATTCATTAACGACAGGACGGTAGGTCTGAGTTCAACTTTGGGTGAACGCATTCAGGGAATCAGAGAGGGTTGGGTGTGTGGCTAGCAACCTCACTGTTAGTTGAATTTCAAAGTTTGAAGTTCTATGCTCCACTGGTAACGCAAAGGAAACCGGACGTACCAAACAGGCAGCAGTAGTTGTTTGTCATGTTTCCAGTAATTTGCTAAACATGGACAAATTTACACAGCTTATAAGGTGGCATTATGGTACAAGCAGTTGAAGTTGTCTATACAATAAATGCAGTTGCTACAGTCTCTTCTGGACGATCTAATCACAATACTGGGTATTTCAATTAACTTTGTAATTATGTAAATCTTTTCTCCTAGGCTAGATATCACTGTCCTAACGTTCACATATCACCTATTGACTTAATCCCTATTTTCCTGCCGATGAGTGCAATACTGGGACGAAACATCTGTTCAATACTCCCTGGATTTTAATGATTCCCTAACTCATATGAGTCCGTGATCAAGCCTTAATCCTTATTTTTTTGTTTTTCTTTTGTTCTTGCGCTATCCCTTATATAAAAGCTTCTCTTTGCATTTGTGTGACTGTGTTGATAATATGTTGTTCTATGGTTGTGATTTTATTTGGATGAGGTTAAGATTAGCTGTGGTGATTCTGAACCTGGACTATCTTCAGGAAGCGTCTGGTGTGTAATTGTTGCTACCAGAATTTTGACTCGGGATTTTGGAAGTATTCTTCTTCGTTCTCAGGTATTTCTTACAGCTGGTTTTGGTTAAATAGTTTTGTGTTACAGAAATTAGTTTGTATTTGAGAAAATTCTGGATCTGTAAAGGTGTCTAACAACATTGTTGAGACGATTTTGAGTTCACAAATTTTTTTCACGAACAACTGTCTTTTAACTGTCGTTAGGACACTTTGGAACTGTGTGTCACTCAAAGAATTTTTTCGATAGCTGTACAATGGAAGGCGAAGATTTGTTTTCAGTGTTCAAGCCATAATCATGTCAGTTTTGATCCCTACAACTAATACAAAGTGACTGAAGAATGCTTCATAAAGTCAGTTCTTCTATACGAATCAGAAACTTGGTGTGCCACGAAAAGGATTTCAACAGGCTGCAGGCTTTTGTTAACAGTTGCCTTCACTGGCTTCATATTGAATGTATAACAGCCGGCCAGAAGGAATTATCTACAAGAAACTCTGACTGGGAACACGCCAGCCAAGAGCCGATTGCTCAAAAAATATATGTAGGAGAAAGTGGACATAGATTGGACAGACGTTAAGGAGGGCGTTGAGTGACATCGCGCACAATGTAGGGCATTGATCAAGTGGAATCCCAATGGGAAGCGGCCAGTAGGTCGTTGTTGTGAGAGTGACACGGAGAAGATTGCTTGGGGACGGGGAGATGAGGGATTATAGGGAATCGTGGACTCAGATGAAGAGGACGGCAGAAAATAGAACAAAGTGGAGATGTTTCTGATTGGACACTAGTCAGTAACTAGTATAATGTGTCTAGTTCTAACTTCGGTGCAGACTGAATTCTATCAGTCAAGCTTGCAATGTGGCCACCATTCCAGGTGACAGGCAGCTATCACGGTGCACTGAGAATTGTTGGTATTAGATGGTTGTAGGCATCGGCGGAAAGCCCTGAACCTAGGTTTCGTGCCGGGTGACATTCATCAGCGAGGCTTATCTACAACCTCGAAGGAACTCACGTCTCTTCTGAGGTTCGAACCCACGTCACCCAGTTTTGCAGTCAAAGACGTTACCACTGAGCTATTCGGACTCGCGATTGGCCCCCCGTAGACACATTACACTAGTTACTGACTAGTGTCCAATTAAAAATATCCAATACAGTCCTACAGGCCTCGCTGATGAGTGTTTCCTGGCACGAAACCTAGGTCCAGGGCTTGCTGCCGATTGCTTCCAACCACCTAATACCCACAATGTGGAGGTGTGTTGTTGAAGCCCTTTGTTCAACTCGGAACCCAAGGGAATAATAATAATGGTGAGTATCTGAGGTTCCACAAATATGACGTACTGGAGAGTGTAACTATAGATTCTCATAGACAGGAAAATATCCAACCACTTTTCACTTTTCT